ATTTAAGCAGAAACGCTTTGTATTCACTGGAGTGTAAAGAGGGAAAGAGAGGTCATAGCTGTCATCAATTATGGCTAAGAGGTACTAGGGATGGGGACACAAGGGTGTAACAAGGTGAACAGCAAACAGGAGTTTGCCTGGGAGTGGTGTGCTAAGTAACTGGGACTTCTATAAACAGTTTTGACTGTGCTATTTGGTGTGCAGTGGCAGGAATATATGAATCAAGCTTGCCCCGGGAGGTGAAAAGCAGGAGGGGTCAAAGAGGATCTAAATCTGAGACACACGCAGGTAGACCTGAATGGCAAGGAAAATATTGCTATTACTGACATTAACTGGGAAGAGAAACATGGGAGACCACACGAAGACATATGCAAAGGCAGAGAGTTAGTTACACACGTGACAAAGCAGAAGGATTTTGTGAGGCCCATCTCCTGTGAAACAACTTTGGGAGGAGATCATTCATTACCACCCTGGCCAGGGTGCATTGTTCTAAACTTTTCTTCTGTGCTTCCTTTTTCCTCCATTTTCCTTCTTTCCAAGTTTTTTAGGCTTATCTAGATTCCATAAAAGAAAGCAGTGAAGTTTGTTCTCTGGTGTTTGGTTTTGCAAGATTTAAATGGCAGTTGACAAGTGCATGGAATTTTGAATTAAGTGTTTAGATAAAAAGGCCTCACAGCCCATTACCAGATGTCAGGCACCAAAAGCAGTAACAGGGCACTCCCCAGTCCCCTGGGTCTGCCCCCCACTGCCCAGAGCTCAGGACCCCATGTCAGCCTCCTGAGGCCACCAGTCCCTGCCCCAGTGATGCTGCAGCAGAACTGGTATCCCGCTTCCCAGGTTCCAGCCAAGCTGGGCCCAGCCATGAGCCGGGTCTTCTCACTGAACCTACCTCTTCTTAGAAAATCAAAAGTCTGTGGCCTTTCTGGCTGCAGTTCCAGGAAGGAAAAGAAATACAATTTTGATCACATACTAAGGGCTGGGTTCCAGTGCAAGAGTGACTGCAGTGCATATAGTCTCATTCATTTTTAAACATCTGTGGTATTTTATTGGATACTTAGCATATTGCTTTCTATACTCATTTCTTTGAATTTGTTCTTCTTCATCTTCACTGAATTGTACTTTGTGTCTTTTTCAGTCCGGTTCTCAAACCTCCCTTTACCAAAACTTACTTAGAGCAGGCTACAGAACCTTTCTATTTCCCTTGGCCCCCAGCTCTACCACTTTTCCTTGGGTTTCTGCTTCCTGCCTCTCTCTGGGAGCTTTTCTGTCAGACTCGCTGTTGCCTTTCCCAAGGAACTCTTTTTTTTCTCTTCACTTTGGTCCTTTTCATCCCCAAATTGGCTCTTCCTTTCGCTTGCTCTTTTGTGGACTGGTTAGTAACAGTTTTAGCACACTGGCATCATAGCTGGTGTTGGCATCCCTGAAAGGGAAAACTTTCAGGAGTGATTTTAGGTGAGAAATATAATTGCTCTGTAGGTGCTTCTTAAACTTAATCCAAAAGCAGGGACAGCAGAGGAGAAAGCAGGAACTGTTTCCTTGTTATCAAGGGCTAATGATAACAGGGGCTACCAATATGATGTATCAAAAAGTAAAGCTGAGCTTTTAATACTGCATGAGAAATGATAGATAACAAAAAACTTTGGAAGATAAGACAAGGAGATGACATGGGATTAAGTAGAGAACGAAAAGCTACAAGGCAGGCATAAGAAATGGAGTAATGAGAATAATAAGCAGATTAATGATGGCAGCAGGAGAGGTATAACTACAATTGCTGAGACCAGAAAGAATGCAAATGAGATGATGTCAAATGCTGTCTCTTATTGACAAAATGACCCAGATCAGACACTTTTTCTAACCCTCAGCTGTCTGTAACACGCCTGAGTTTCCTAACCCATTACTGATTTTCCACTTCATGGACAGGCTAGCCTGGCTGCTAAGGTTCCATTTTCTGGGATCTTTCTCCCTTCTGTCTACCCATTGGAAACTACAGAAGCAAGGGTGCTGCAGATTTAGTCAAACAAGGATATTGCTCTTGCAATTCACTCTGATAGAACAGCACATGCAGAACTGCACCCAGAGCTTGGTTTTCTTGTCCAGGCTATTTCTGGGAGCTTTCTACCCATCATTCCCTCCTCAACTTCTATGTACTCAGGCACATATCAGTATGTATGTATTTGCAGTTGTCTTTTTGAAGGGATTAACAGGGCTTAAGTACAGAATGGGGTTCAGGAACTGAGAATGTTATCTGTTTTCACAGATTTTTCCCTACCTTCCACTGAGCTGCTATTCTGGTACTATGTTTTACTTCCGGCTTCAAATGTATCAGGAACACAAATAAGTATTGTTATAATTTTATTCTCTTAGTGTGGAAAGTTCCACTTATCAAGTGGGTGCAGAGGATCACCCCATATGCTCAGATCTGACCAAAGTCTGTCTGTGAAAAACTAGCTTGAAACACACCTTTGTAAGTTTATTATCAGAAGACTTTAAATCATTATCAGCCTATTTAGTTAGTTTACTTGGAGCAAATAATATGACAGTGCAACTGATATTAATGTGCTTTGGAACTGCTCGTGTGTGTGTATATATATGTATATATGTGTGTGTACATGTGTTTCTGTACTTGGGTTATAGGTGCCGCACAAAAAACCTTAACATTATTCAACATTTCCAGCTATAGTACCTCCTATTGTTTATGAAAGCATAAAAATACTTTAAAGTGGGATTTTTTTTTTGCTAAATTCCTTTAAATACTGAAGATTTTGCAATTGCAATGGTTCAGAAGCTCCAGGAGAAGGATTAGAGAATGCTATGTTATAAATCATTGTTTCAGCAGTTCAAGGACAGAACAGTGTACAAGTGATACCTATGCAAGGCAATGCAATCTATTCCTTTGGTGCCTGTTCTGGAAATAAATCCGCATGGCAGGAGGAACAACTTCAGTCTGAGTGTGGATGTGGTACGTCGTGTTCTCATGTGACTATTATTAAAACATCTTTGAGTATTTCCTAATTGAAAGAGTACTAGAAACTTTCTATCAGACCTTGTTTTGGTCAGGGGGAAAGTAACCCATTTTAAACCCAAGGCTGGTGGATGGATAAGTGTGAGTGGTTGTGGTGTAGCTACACATGCTCAGTTAAAGTACAGACCACTAACAGACATAGAAGAAGGTTGCAGTGGCTCTAGCATCACAAAACGTAAAGCAAGCATGAGACAAAAGAACTAAGAAAGAGAAATTTAACAGAAAAAATATCCAATAACTCCAGCATATGACAATTTTTGAGGCCCCTGGAAAAGTACAATAGAGAGAGAGCTCTTCTGGGTCAAACAGTCTCATCTGCCATGCAGGGGATCTGCAAGTAGGTTGCCAGCCTCCTCCATACCCAGTGTACCATGTAGAAAAGGAAGATGTTGAAAGTAATTAAAAGCAGCCAGTTGTCAGAAATTTTTTGAAGTAAACAGAAGGATGGGAAGAACATTTTATGGTCAGAAAATTTGGCAACAAAAATATGAACAACACGATAGCTCTGTTACTTGCAGTGTGTTTAGCAGGAAGAAAAGTATCTTTGAAATGGAATTGTAAAGGGCCTTGGTTGAATTAAGCAGTGCAAAGAAGGCTTGAATTCAGTAAATGTTTTTAATTTTATGATGGCTTCAGGACTTTTTGCCATTTTGCATGCACATGAGATGATTTGCATTGCTTTCTCCACTAATCTATTCACCATTTGTTACCACTCTTGGCTTGAACAATTGCTCTGGTTGTTCTCATATAGAAATTTTGGATTATGTTATAGGAAACATGTCAGCAGATTGACTGACTATTTTTGCTTGGCTTTGGTTGATTAAGGCAATAGCATTGATGTAGTGGATTTAGAACTCTATAAAGCATTTGACATGAAAGCATGTTTTGGCTTATGAGCTAGAAAGACATAAAACAGCTGGACACACACTGAAGAAATCAACCACTAATTAACAGACAGGCCTCAAAAAAATCTCCCGATAGCAATCCTTCTGAAAGACTCTTGCAAGAAAGGATTCAATGAGGATAATTCTTGCTGCCTGGCTTGCTTTTTAGTAATGACCAAAAAATAATCAGAAAATGATTTTGGATGTAATTTTCAGAATCCAGTAAGACATACAGATATTAAAATATCAAGCCATAGCTATGTATAGTTTGTTTATAATGATGTGATCTGAAGAACAAGGAAAAACCAACAGTGCAGTGTATCAGGCTGTTACCTGGAAGATTTTATGCTTCATTAAAAATTAAAAAAACAAAAATCCATCTCCTCCTCCCCCTCTACCTCCTCCACCATGTACAATGTGAACAGTGCAGATGAATGCCTTATATTTAATATTTAGGATCTTCTATTCTGGGAATATGTAAGGTCCAAAGAGATATTTAGATCCCTGTCTCCCTGTTTCCTGTTTTGTTACTTTTCAGTAGAAGAAGTTTCTGCTTTTTTTGTTTCATGAGTTTTATGATGCTGTCTTTCCATCCTGCCTGGGATAGCCCATACTGCTGCCCTTTGGTTACAGCAGAAATAGTCTATTTAGTATGAACTTGTTGTATTAATAGACTCACCACTCCTTTACTGAGGAATGCCTTGTAGTTACCTAAAATCACACTTAATTCAAGGTAAGATGAGGGAAAATGCAAAGAGAATTATTAACTCATTACATCTTAAATAGGAAACACAATTACAAGTACATGGAAAAGCCATAATAAATATAAGGAAAAGTTCACCTGATTTACTGACACTGACACCTTCCGACAAAAGTGCTTTTCATTTTGGATATTTTCCCTTCTTTTCATCTTGTCCCTCTTTGATAAAATGGCTCTCAGAATTTTCTTTCTTCTTCTTCCTCAGGTTTCCCTTAGGTGATTTTCATCAGTGGAAACTTTGCATTACACAGAACTCCATACTGGGGTCGTGCATCTGAAAACATCTTCTGAAGAAGGCTTTGGACTTCACTTTAAGGTAGCTTCATGTCATGTTGATCCCACTTGTTGAAGGCAGTGTTAACTCTTGCTGCCAGTCTGTTCTGTGGAGTTTTCTAAGAAGTCCAGAAAGAGTTCACTTGTCATCTTGGAGCTTGTTCCACCCCTTCTTATGGTCTTATTGTTCTCCTGAATTTAATTAAAGATTCTTTTGCGTCCACAAATATGCATAAATCTTAGAAGAGGAGTTGTCTCCTGTGTTTAACTAGCTCCTAAACAGCTTCTTTCCCCCAAGGAAGCAAGTCTCTTCTATTTCCCTGTGAAAATTGAACTCATTGACATGTTTCCATATGAAATATGTCTTATAGCAGACCTTATATTCTCTAGTGGTAGTGTAATTATTAAATATGCATGATACAAGTATCTAAATAGGGTGAAATTCATCCAATTCACTTTCTGATTCCTGAGACAGGTATGATAACATTACTTCTCTGAAGTGACAGCATTTAAAGTGAATGAAGCCCAACGTATTTCTCCTAGGGATACTCTAACATGGGGTCCTTGTACAGAATTATTTAGAGTCATATTGATTTTAATTGCTACACAGTGTAAAGTTGTGTTTTCAAACTGCTTCTGAAAAAGAATAAAAAGGGAACACTCAATCTTGGCCCTCATGAGATCAATGAACAACCTGACTGACTTTAGCTGGCCTTGAAAATGGCCTCTGATGCATTAGGACTCAAGGATCACATCATGAAATGAGAATTGATGTACAGTGAAGGAAAGGTTAAAGGCAGATCTTCCCATAACCTTTCCTGTAGCCTTTACAATGATTTTATACAGCCAAGAAAATGAAAAAAGTATAGGCTAAATGCCATTGTATCTAAGAAGGCTGCATTAATTTGAATGAGTATTGTAACATTTTATTGTAAATACAAGTAAATCTTTAGTACAGAAATAGTGAACAGTGCCCCTCTCCATTCCCCAGGTCATACCTATGCTAAGAGAGATTTAATTGTCAGTGATGCTGTTAATTCTATGAGTCTGCAGATATTCCAGTAAAAGTGTGTGATATCAACATCACATGCCAGCCCTGAAAGGAGGAACTCTTGTGCTCAGGTACAGTTTTAGCAATGTAACTGGTACTGCTTCCACTGCTGTCTCAGAACACACCAGAAACCAGAAGTGGTCCTATTGTATCTTGTAAAAACAAAACAAAATAAGAAAAAATGAAAAATTTTGAAAAAAAATTGAAAAAAAGGCATCCAGGCAATGGTGTGTTTATTGCCAGTAGGTTCAGGATGAAAACTTGAGAAGTGGGAAAGGAAGACAGTGCTGTTTGACTTTTTTGATTGTGTGGACTTTATAGAACAGAAAGAGAATGTCTCGTTTGCCAGTAGTTACTGTTTTGCACTTAATGTTGCAAATTCCAGTAACAGCATGCTGATGAAGAGCTCTCTACTGGGGGAAACAGAGTAAGATTGCACAGAGAATTTAGATAGGTCCCTCTTCATGATATGCAAGGAGACAATGAGTGAGCACAAGAGAGAAAATATGTTGTGTTGGACTGCCTTCTTTCCTTCTGTCTGGGAACATGGAACAACTCCTTTTCTGTTGTTTACCACTTTCTACATTTCCTATTGTACTGAACCAATTTGGGGCTCTTCTGCTGCAGCAGCAATGGCAGCAAACACATATACCATGCAGGGTCTTTGGAGAGGGATAATGGGAGAATTCAAGCTAGTGGTGTGGATTCTCTGCAGGAATAGGGAAGAGGTTCTCCTGCAATGATTTATTTGTCCAAAGTGCAAAGCTTCAGGGCAATAAATGGAAATAAATTCATCCTGAATATATCCTGGTCTTTGTGGATACACCTGTTACAGGTTATGGAGAACTTTGTATTCTTAGATTCTAAAGATTATAAAAAAATACAACTTTGTAATCCTAAATGAAGTTATTGTTCCCCAACAGCTTTAAAAGACAAGGGAGGAGTATGTGCTCATAAGCAGTTCATTGTTCTGAAAAAAGGAGGAATTTTGGAAGACTTCAAAATGGACATATTATTTATCTGTTTGGTTTAACAGTATAATTGTGGTGAGTCTTTTCCATAAGAGGATTTTTACTTATTAGCAAAACCTATTTTATAGGGCTTGGAAAGTCTTTTTGCTGTCCTAGATTCTGTAGGAGATATCCATGTTATCTTTGTTATATCAGTCATACAAAATCTAACCTGAATTATCTTTCCTTGTTGACAGAAAGACAGATTTCCACTTTAGAGACCACGTCACTTTCCTTCCTGTGAGAATAACATGAACCAGAAGGTGTTAGTTTTCCTTCTTCCAAATTTTGTATTTGGGATATTTCTTTTTGGGCTTTTCTGTAGGAGACAAAAAAACCTAACAGGTGAGTAAAGATATTACCAACAAGATTGAATGTTTTATAAAAAGAGAGACACCTTTTCCAAATATGTTAGAAAGTAACTATGGAGCCTAAGATATAAACAATACTGTGAAAATATCCAAGGCCTAGTCACTTGTCACTGTGGTAGTTATCTCAGCAATATATGAGAGGAAAGCACTAGAAAAACATGATGCTGGACCACCAAACTTACTTAGACTAATTCTGCTAACATATTGAAAGTTTTCATTTTAATAAATGTTTCACTAGGGAGGGTAGTTTATTGCATGTTTGCCAGTCTAGTCTGGTTACAGCAAAAAATAAAATTATTTTAGTATCTTCATTAGGTTTTGTATGCAGGATGATAGATTGAGTGCTATGATTGTCACAGATAAACAGATTTATACAAGCCTATTTCGCTGAAATGGTTTAAATTTCTCCCTTGGTTACAGATGCTTTTCCCAATCCTACTGAAAATTGGCTGGCAATTCAAAACGGTCGGAAAAACACACTGGCTTCTGTCTGCCTGAAGAATAACCTTAATAAACCAAGAAACAAATTGGATTCTCATGTTGCAAACCAGCTCTTTGTGGAGCACAAGCATAAATTTATCTACTGTGAGGTGCCTAAGGTAGGCTGCTCCAACTGGAAGAGAACTATTTTTCTTCTTCAATCAGACTTGAATGCAGAAGCTTCTGAAATTGAGCATGACAACATCCACCATACCCCACTAATCAAAAGGCTGGTGTCTTACCCTCCTGCCTTACAAAAGGAATTCCTAAGCAATTACACTAAAGTGATGTTCACCAGACATCCCTTGGAACGGCTGGTTTCAGCTTACAGAGACAAACTCCTGCACTCTGAGCCATTCTACAGTACCACTATTGCTAATGAGATTAGGGCAATGTTCAGGAAAAATAAAAATTCTCCTGAAAAAGTTAGTTTCCAGGAGTTTGTCAACTTCATTCTAGCAAAACCACCACATACTCTTGACATTCACTGGAAACCAATGTTTCTGCTTTGCGATCCTTGCAACATTCACTATGATATTGTGGGTAAGTATGAAACTCTTGGGTTGGACTCTGAGCATGTTCTGAAGGTCATTGGTGCACCAGAGAGCCTGCAATACCCCAGCTTGAAAAGATACGGCTCAGAGAAACGAACTGATGGTGATATCACCTTAGAGTACCTCAGACAACTGACCTCAGAACAAATTGAGAAGATTAAAAAATTGTATGAAATGGATTTCTTTTTGTTCAACTATACTATGAAATATGAGGATTATTTTTCCCTGAATGACTAATGTGGGTTAAACAAAGAACAGTTTCCTTTGTACAAAATGGACGGAACTTGTCCTCCCAGGTGCTTGGTAACTGGGCTGGTGACTGCTGCTGAGGTTATCCTGGAATTTGTAGATACAGTTTATCATTCTAAGGACCCTTATAAAAAATCCCTGTCATGATCTCTTGTACCATGCAGACCTTTACCTATTAAAGTTATTGTCTTCCTATTGATCTTTAACAGCATATGTTTGTTTCATTAAAACTGTTCATAAAGGATAGATTTTGGTCCATTGGTAAGAAACATGGGAAGGATGAAGAATGTTGTATTTCACAATGAATATTTTAGAACACCATTTTCATTTTTTTAAATTAGAAAGTTATATAAGACGCAATAAATAATCTCCTTGCGAGTTAAACCACTCTGTCTGCAAGAGCCTTGATCATAAATGCTGTAGGAAAGGAACAAATAACTTCAGATGCTTGAAGTTGCATTACAGAGAACCTAATGCCAGGATATCTTCCTGTCTAGCAGTGCTCTGGTCACAGCCCATCAGCCTCATCCCCCAAGCAGCACAGTTGTCAGCATTATAGCTCTTAAAAATCTTCTGATGAGCAGATCTGGCATTCATGGTGACCTTACAAATGCTTTTCGCCAGTTTTGTAAGCATTTTAGCAGAAAGTCTGAAAAATGCATTGCGTTTTTTTAGAGAAGTAGTTAGAGGCACCTTCTAAACTGTTCAGCTGGGTGGTGCATGATCTAAAATCTCAGTGGAAAGGTGATTCTTATTTATTCTCCAAAAGCACTTAACAGCCAGTCAATGGACAGGCCAGACAGTGCAGTGGGGGCAATGTTTGGGCTTTCCCATTTGTGCTGCTGGAATCCATGAGCCCCTGGGACTTTACTGAGCATAGCACTTAGGAGGAGCTGGGTAACCTTAGATAATACATTTGTTCTACTTGTTGCTTTCTCATATTACAGGAGAATGAGTGCAAATACATTGTGAAGTTATGGTGAGGGGAACAAGGAAACATGTGGAAGAAGGAACTCAAACCAGTACCCCATTCTTATATTCCTAAGTGGCTTTGGTTTTAGATCACTGAGGGGTCTATAACTGCTATTATATTAAGCATGAGATTTGTCCCCCTTTAAAAAAAATTCTGTTGTCTAGTAAAATTCAAATATTAATTTGTGACCATATTAATTGTAACAAGTTTTAGCAACTAATTGTGACTATTGGCACTACCTCTAGGGGATGTCTGTCTCTCAGCAGCTAACTTGAAAATCTCTCAAATGCACCTAATTCCTCTCAGCTAAATCTGCAAATGCAGCATAATGGCTGTCAGACTAGTCTTGGACCCAAAATTGGCTCCCAGCTTCTCATCACACAGAAAAGGACAGATACAAAATAAGTTAATCACAGAGTACTCACCAATCTGTACAGCCTTTGCTGCCAGCAGCATGGGCAAGGGAGAGGGAAAAGGAGACTCTGAAAAATTCACACAATGGGGTTTAAGTTATGAGGGTTTGGTGGAGCTCTTGCAGTGCAGGAAGTGGGTTGCAGGAATTAACTGCTCCAGTGGGAAGGTGCAGTGATATATGACATCAGCTGGAGACAGTGATCAGACCACAGTGACAGAAGGCCCAGAAAGAAATGTTTTCTATCCCCCTTGATAGCAGATTGTACACAAGGCAGGACTAGCTTTCAGTGCATCTGGCAGGTCTTGCTGGGTGACTATTTCATAAATGGGGCAGCTTTGGCACAAAGAAAGATTCCAAGTGAGAAGATCAAGCAAGAACAGCAAAACAATTTGGGAGGGGAGGGGAGGAAAGGGTTATGATTTTATGCAGAATGATTTGTATTTCTGGATCTTTCCCTCACCACCACCATATTTGATGTTTCCATAACCTTAATATCCCCCAATACTGGACTGTTCACGCCGCCCTGGCAACTCTGTAGTTCATGTAGGTTTTTCTTTTTCTTTACTTGCTAGTTTTCTTTAGTCAGAGGAAGCAGGAAATTGCTCCCATCAAAGTTAAGGCTATGCAGAAGTATGCAGTCTCTTCTTTTCTCTCTTTCCTGAATCAGAGCTACATGTTTCTCCTACATTCTTTGACAGATCATGCAGAGATAGAGGGGAATAAGATTTGCTTCATAACACACTTCTACATGAGAGATCCCTCCAGAGCTATATCTGAAGCTGTAAGGATATCTAAAAATACATGAGTACTCTGGCACCCTCATCCAGCCTAGGATGAAGAAATTATACTGACAGAGTTTTATACACGTCTTTGCTGGTGTCAGTGTTAACACCCCCCCCCTCCAGTTTCTTGCTGTTAGATGTGAGTGGCTTTATATTCTTATTTCCTCTTTCACAGGTTCACATATTGTTCCTACAGTGGTTGCAGAAAAATGATGGCTAATTCATTCATCACAAGCCTTAGTCAGTAGCAGAAGGCTATCTATTAAAGCAGAAAAATATCTCTAATCACAGCAGACTTTGAGTTTTGCTCTTTGCCTATAGGGAACTGTAAGTTCCCTATACACATTGCCTCAGATCACTGGCTGCTATAATGCTGTTTTGCTCATGTGGGTCTGAAAAAAAAGCTGCAGAGGACATATGTGTGCATGTGTGTCCCATATAACAGCAGGTGTGCTGTCTTTTGTACAAGTGCACTGTCCAGGACAAGGCTCTAAGCTGAGCTGGGCTCCCTCCTGACATTTGCCCAGAGAATAACCATCAGTGGAGCTTCTTTCCTTTGGATGCTAACTCTTGGTTATGTGTTCCTGGGAGGAAAATGGATTCTTGCAGTTGGGAGCAAGGGTGGAGACAGTGCGGTGAGGCTCAGGCCCTGGGGAGGATTTGAATGGGGAGGGAGTGCCATAATTCATCTTCTGATTTATTGTTATATGCCTGCAATATAATCATTGCAATGTTAATTTCTGATTTCCTTAATAAACTGTAGAGAATTAACACATTAATGTATTTGTTCATCCTTCTCAATCTGTTTGAAAAACAAACCTACCTCAAAGTTGTTTGTTCAAATCAAAACAAAGGCTGACTGCTACTTGGCAACAATCAAGCCAAAGCTGCTTGCCTCTACTTTGCTACATTAATACATCTGACTTACAGAAATTTTAAAGAATTGAAAGAATTAGCAAACACTAATGCATGTTCCAGTTTGGAGAAAAAATGCAAATAAGTGGAAAAAAAGGAAGGGAAAGAAAAAAAATCTTGCAAAGCCAAGCTTGTTTCTTTCCCACAAATCTATCTATTAGCAGTGAGAAAATAAGAGACTTTTCCCACTCTCATGGAAATCCTCACACATGCTTTCAGGATAGGTATCCACAAACCTGACATCACACTTTCTTCATGGAAGTATGACAGATCTAACCGATGATCCATGTTAGTCAGCAATGGCGATCATGTCACCAGTTGTTCCTTGGAGAAGATGTTTCCTCTACTTTAAAAATAATTATTCTGCCTGCAAGCAGTCCTAATTTTTCACACACTTTTGTACTTGAGTCTTAACAGGTAAACTGTGATTAGTGGTTTCTTGCTCAAAGAACTTCAAAGAGCAGGACAGCTGTGAACAGAATAAAAGGTGTGAGCAATGAAACTTCAAATGTTTGCTGTTCCACAGAAGTGTCTCTGACGGGAAGAAGAGGAAACACCACCCATGCAAATCATTGCACGTCAGACAAACTGCAGTACTCACTGATCATAGCTACAAGGTGATTCCATTTCTGTGTTTAGAGTGTTAATAAGTGAAAAGCTTTTAGTTCAATGATAACCTGTTTTTTTGACTTGTCTGTCATAGAAGTAGAAAAAGAAAATTAAACAGGAAAAGAAAAAGGCACCAACACTCCATGATCCTGCCTTTGGCCTGATATGATTTCTCTCTCTCATGGCAGTTCTTACCTCCCTTCCTTCCAGAATTATTATTCAGGACATGCTTTAGTATAAAACAAAAAGTTATTGGATTGGGTGACATATACAAATCAATGTAAACCAAATAAAATCAAAACAGGCAGAGAATTTACCTGATAGAAAAGTCTGAAATTTCAGCAACCTCCTTTTGCAAGTTCTGAACAGGTATCAAATGTACATATGGGGGCAGTTACAATGCTGCTTCTAGTAAGAACTATTTTTATAGAAAAAGCTCAAGCGATCATAGCTCTTAGTCAGTATACTGAGGTTGAAATTCCAAATGAATTAACAGAGCAAAAAATGAATGATGCATAACAGGATCAAGTCTGTGAAAAGGAAATGGCTCCACACTGTTTCAGCACTACCCATGTACACCTCGCCTTTGCTCACCACTACAAAAGCACTTCCTTTACATCTTCAGGACCCTGATTATGGCTTCTTTTGGAGATGTACCAAACCTTAACAAGATGGAAAGGTTTCCTCAAAAAGTCCCATTCCCCATAACCCTGTTAACAGGATTATGCAGCATTTGTGGAGTCCCACCAAAGGTGCAACAATCCAGCCACAAATGGGGCTCAGAGCAGAACTTAGCATGAGTACCCAAAATCCAGGTAGGCATACTCCAGTTTACATTTCTAATTCTGTAGCAGAACTAGGGGGAAAGATCTTTATGTACAAATCTATGACCAACATCCTAACTCTTACCTCACTTGATTGCATTGTCTTCCATTTCTTCCCAGATCCCTTCTTCAGTATTCACGTGAGCTGCATGTACGGACTCCTGCCGAGTTCCTGCAGCTGGGGGCCTCCAAACAGGTGCTACAGATGCTGACTTACTTACTCAGGCAAAGTTGTTGTCAGGTGAATGTTGCTGGATGTATTGCAACTATTTTCACAATTGATTTTGTGTGAGAAAGTTCTTCAAGCACTTGCTCCACCAGTGAGATATTACCTACTACAAACTGGGAAGTAAATGTTTTGAAGGCATTCCACCCCCTTAAAAATAAGCCCATCTTCAGATAGGTTTAGTGGTTAAGGAAGAAAACTCTTTTGGGGATTTACATCAGGTTTCAGGGGCCTCTGTTAATTATAAACCAAAAGCTCCAGGAAACCCTCTCTCATGACGGGCCATCATTCTCTGCAGGGTTAGGTTTTGTTTACCCTCGGAGATCTGTTAAGATTGGTCCTTAGAGTGCCTGCATGGCAAAAGAGCCCCTTAAAATTTTTAGCTTGAAATAAGCATGGAAAAGTAGAATGACAAATTTAAAAGCGAATCCACAACACACCTGACATTAAACAATTGATTTTATGTCCATCCTATCTCAGAAAGACAGCGTAGATAAGAAACAAACACAGGGAAAAAGCAAACAAATTAATATAAGCAGATTATTATCCTGACAATAACTTCTGGCTAGGAATTTTAACTCAGGAGCCTGCCCACAATGCCAGCTGCTGCCTGCAACTGGCCAACAAAGCTCTTTGTCAAACAGTTTAGTAAGCCAATTTTTCAGGCTTTGCATGCTGACAACATTTCATTTCTGTTCATCTGTGCTGCCCTCCTCTTACTTCTCTACAGTTCCACATGTTTTCCAGCTCTCCTGGAGCACTCAAAGCTGGATGCAAACCTGGGACTTTACAAATGCCACATAGATTGAAAGTATGAACCCAGGTATGTCACATATTATTAAGCTCCCATTTGTACTCTCAGTTCAGTGTTAATTCAATGCCAACCCTTGTAGGAACAAATCACTTATTGTGATTTAAAAATTGAATAATGATACTCCATGAAAAGCATCCCAGGACTTGAGACGTATATTCTAATCCAAGTTCTTGAACTGCTCAAACTCTCCAGCCTCATAAGGCCAGACTTCTGGACGTTTGGGCTTGTTTCTGTTTCGTTTTATTTCCCTGTTGACAGTTAGGATTCTCGGAAATTAGGCACTGAAACACCCGAAGTCTTTGGAGCGAGTATCCAATTACCATCCGCGTCCACATGGGGCCATCTGCTGGCGGAAGCGGCTCGGCAAGGGAGGCTCGCCTGGGCGGAGGTCCTTGATGAGTCTTATGTTTCAATTCTACTTTTTTTATCCTGAAGCCTTGTATCTCAAGACTCTCACTCTTGTTCTTTCTCTCCCTCTTCTTCTCTCCCCTTCTCTCTCTGATTATCTTCCTCTTTCCTTGGACAAGAATTGTTTCAACTTGACCACTAAGGCTTTCTTGTCCCAGTAGTTTTTTTACAGGTTCTCCACAAGCTTTCTTACCCAACTTGCTCAGTGGTGAGGACTGACCAGCTGCTGGCACTGCAAGTTACACTGTGTTGTCCCAGCAAGAATTTCTTGTTTCTGTACTGCGCTTAGCTTCTTCCATGGTGAAAGCCTACCTTTGTAAAAAATTTTTCTGCTGAACATGATGAAATTTTCAGGATTTTCCAGGAATCCATATGCATGTGCATCAAAATGAAAATATTTTCATGACAATTACAGAAAACTGCCTATGAGAGAAATGCAATTTCTAGAATGAAAATGAAATCCAGCAAACAAACTGCAATCAGTGTCCCTATATCATCTCAGCCCAGTCTTTTTGTTTCTGAAGGTACTTATGCTCTCAGAGGCAATTTCTCAAGCTCTTTGGCAAGAACCTTGATAACATTATAAGAGAAATAGGATTCATTGTTACTCCAACTGATATTCAGGGAAAAAAAAAACCTACAAAAATATTAGCTTCCGGTTAGTAAATATCGTAACTAATAGCCACACTTATCTGCTTTGTAAAACAAAACCCAAAAATTGTTTCTTCAGCTTGATAACAACCCCATTAGGAAAGCAGAAGTCTTCTGCTTGCATTTTCAAAGAGGATGTGTGTTCCTCTTTGCTTCGTGTCTACTCATCAGGCAGCCTTGCAAAATTGTACTTACCTGAGACAATGATGCATTGGATGCATGAATAAGCATCTCTGACAATTTTTCTTCATTTTGCTGTATTTTTTGCCTTGATGTTAAATGCTATGTTAATATCTTTTATGCCAGTAAAAGCATGGACTATTTTTCCCTAGTACTTTTTCAGGGCTACTTTGTTTATCACTGTTGACAAATTGTGCTACTAGTCCCATGGAAAAGACAAAACAGCGGAAAACACCTAGAGTTTGGGAGGCTGGAGGAATGCTTGGTTGCTGTGCTACTTACACTGTCAGAGGAATTAGAATAATTTGGCGAAAGATTGGCTACCCCTGACTCATGGTTATGCAGCTCCTTACAAGGAAGAATGGTTGGTTTATTTGTCTGGTTGTCAGTGTCTTTTTTCTAGCAATCTGCTCACATGGAAAGAGAAACAGATGGACACCCAATCTAATGCTCTACAATCCCAGTTTAGTTACTGAAGAGAACTCTGTGTGCTCTTAGCCATGATGGAAGCAGCAAAGACACCTCCTGGCCAGCTCCCCCCAGTTTACATATGGGAATGACATTCTATGGGGTGGAGTATCCCTTTGGCCTGTTCAGGTCAGCTGTCCTGCCTTTGTTTCCCCCCTGCCCGGCTGTTTGTGCACCTCCTCACTGGGAGAGCCTGGGAAACTGAGGAACCCTTGGCTTAGGGTAAGCACTACTCAGCAACAGCCCAAACAACAGCGTGCTGTCAACATTATTCTCATACTGAATGCAAAACTCAGCACTGCACCAGTCACTAGGAAGAAAACGAACTCTACTGCAGCCCAAACCAGGACACTGTTTAAGAACCTTATCAGACATTTTGTAAAGGCGTTACTAGTGACGGCAGTGTCGGGGATTTCAAAATGATGACAAAATTTGGGGTCCCTGTTTTGAAGACAGACCTACAAACGTAACTGAGTACAAACTCGGGTTTGTAGGTTTTTTGCTGGTTTTAAACTCTGCTGTGGTGGCAATGTCACAGTTACAGCGTCCGGCAGTACCGGGGCGAGCTCTCGGGGCCCGGAGCTGTCCGCGGTGCTGAACGGGCCCGGCACGGCCACTGCGCTGCCGGCACCGGCCCCTCTGCCTGTGCTCCATTTCTTCTGCTCTTGGTGGGTTTCGCA